AGTGTCAATTTGCCGTAAAGACAAAGGGGAGTCGAGGAGCAGATGTGTGCCAGAATACCTTAGGATGATTTCTTAATAGCTTTATAAATCCATTCATGCATCACAGGCTGCCAGCAGCACTGACAGGCTGCTGCCAGGCGAGTCGCCTGAGGCCTTGAAGCAACACGTCACAAATAAAGTTATTATATTTTACATACTTTTCTTTGTTACTGTTTTTGTCTGGCAACAAGAAGGAGTGTAAAGTCTGTTGCTACAGCCCTTAAATTTCAGTTTTAACACTTACTAAGCGGAGTCTAAATGAAATGTGAAATGGTGATAAAATGAAATGTGTTAATTTGTAAATCCTTTGAGGTCTAAAAACAACCATAAATGGGAAAATGTGTCAGTTTAAAAAGGAAGAATCGAGAATGTTTTCAGATATTAAATGTTCATTTTGAATTTAACTGTAAAAAGTAGCAAATAAGAGAACTCCTTCAGTATAAAACTGCAGAATTATCTAGTGATTAAAGGAACATTGCAACATTTCTGTGAGGAGTTTTTATTTTCCATTCTGTAGATAGTTACAGTTACAATATTGATACGCCTTCAACTTTTTCACATCGTCAGCCTCAACAATGAACAATGTTTTGCTTTCTTTCCATATCACTCAGATTAACTGCTATAAACTACTAGAACCACATTTAAATGTCTATATTTTTACAATGCAACAGTTTAAAAAACAACTTCTGAACACAGAACTGCAAATAGTTTAATATTTTCATCAAGTGGCATTCATAAAACTGAAATAAAAACTTAGTTGCATGGTGCACAATGGCTGAATCTTCTCCCGCTGCATATGGAATGAGGTTTTTCCATACATTCCAACTTCTCACCACAGTAAAATATTATATATTAGGTTAAATGGACATTTCATCCTTAGGTGAGAGTAGAAATTTAGTTTCAAAATATTGACTGTGGTCCTAAAAAGAGCTTACAGGCCAGCAAAGCTAAGAAACTGCTGACCCTATGTTGTTCCACTCCTGGTTAGCCTCTCACAACGTCTCACCTCCAGAGGGACGCGGTCAGAGTGCTTGGCTGGCTGCACCTCACAGCTGTGCTCATGCACATTCTCGGTTAATTACAGGAGCTCTGCACATTCAGCAGGTTTCCCCCACTGTTATTCTGAAAGGTGAGCAATCGAAGCCGCAGCGCAGCCATCATCATCTGTTTGTTGCTGGAGTCTCATAAAAAGCATCCATCAGCCTCTTCTCCGGATTGAAAAGCCTTCGCACAAACAAAAACAGACATTTCATTTAAATAACTGATAGTGAAAAGATGCTTAATCAACCATACAAGTTCAACATGGCAATTATTCATTTTCATAAATTACAAAATGACATTCAATATTGGCATTCCTCTTCATCTCCTCAAGAGTAATCATTGCTCAAATAGTCTCTGTGAAGCCAAAGTTAGTCTTTAAGGATCGATGATGAATGAATGCTAATAAGTGAATCTGTCAGCTTGTGTAGAAAAACAACAAAGTATCTATTTATGATCTTCACTGATCCTTCTCCTCATTAATGAAAGCAGCTTCATGTTTTCCTCAATCAGCCTGGGGGTGGTTCACATATCTAAAGTCAAACAGACTTTATGTACAACTGACATGATTCTGTAATATAAAGATAAAAATAAGTGTTATTATTAGCATTATTTTTTATTAGTAGCAGTAGAAGAAGTAGTAGTACATAGAAACCAGTTTGACATATGCCCTTAATTAAGGTATTTTACAGACTAATTAAACATCAAACACTAAACATTCACTTTACTGTGTTTTTACCAGGCGACAGAATATTGTAAGACGCCTTAATTAGCTTTAAAATATGGTGGTTAGAGTTCATAGTGCAGTATGATTAAAGCTCTTAATGTGAAGATCTGCAAGAAGCTGCTTCCTAGCACATCTGCTGTATATAATAAGCAGATCCACTGCTACAAAGTTGGTAGGTCAAAAAGTTTTTCGCAGGTCAAATAGACAATCCAGAACATTATGAAGATTGCAAACATATTTGGCTAAAATTTAGCAAATTCAAAAACATGTTCAAAAGCCTTATTGACACAACTTTAAATGACTTAAAGTCTAAAATGCTGCCATCTTTAACACTTGGTGTTCTGAAATATCTCACTTTTACTGAGTGTGTCAAACTCTGCGTTTGATGGACAATCAAAAAACTTTGATGGTGTGTCTAGTGTTATTTGGTGTTATTTTTAGTGTAAAGCAACAATGCTAACTGTCAGACAATTTACCATGGTAATTAACACAGATAATAACACTTATTTAAGTGTGCAGATAAGGACTTCCCTGGCTGCATTGTCCCAAGTGTAAAGTTTGGTGGAGGGAGAGAAGTGAAGTTATCTTTTAAGGTTCCTTCTCTCCATGGAAGGAGCTCTTAATGCTGCCAAATATAAAGACTTTTTGGACCAATTCATGCTCACAAGTTGAGGTACCTCCTTCCTGTTGCAATATGCAAAATTAGCAAGAACTTGACTGACTTACATAATGTTCTCTGAAACGTCTTGGTGAGCGTTTATACAAACAGTTGAAGCTGTTGGAGCAGCTCCAACTTAAAGCATCACCAGCTTAAAGAATAGATTCTAACAATATGTTATTAAAGTTTAGGTGTGTGAAGAGGCTCAATGTTTTGGCCAGCAGAGTTCCCATTTTTTCCTGGTTTAGCCAAATAGAGAAGGGTGATCATCACAGTATTCATAAGCTCAGAAATATAGGAGAATTCATGGGATGCATTAAGCAAGCATCTGATTTCTATATGTCGAAAAAGGACTTCACTGAAATTTTATTTTCTTTCCTCTGTGCCTGTGTCACAGATTTCAGGAAAGTGAAGAGGAACAGAAAAAGTACCACCATCGATTTAAAAACAATTTAGGGCTATTCCAAGTCCAATGAAACTGGAATGGCTTTGACTATAAGTGCACTATGTTTCTTAAAGAATAGCATAACTAAAGCAAATCTAATATCTCTGAAAGTAAATCAAAGTTACAACATGCACTGAGAAGCACTCTAAAAGACAAGACAGACATCTGCACTGACAAAATTCAGATGTATGCATTGTTGTCTAACTAACAGATAACTACAAACTCAACAAATGTACAAACATAAATTAGCCTCAGTCATCCTGTCCATCTTTTTATTCTTCTGCAGCAATAAGATGTGTAAAAGGCTCATGTTTGGTTCTCTGACCAGCCTAAGACAAGATTTCCACCATAAAGTTGAGCAAACATAGAAAGTGACAGCCATATCCATGGAAAGTGGAAAAAGTGGGACTGAGAGCAGCTCTATGCTGCCTGGGCAACTTATCACTGTCATCACACAAAACTGCTGCAGATAAATCACCCTGATTTACCAGGAATTATCTGGGGACCAATGCCCAGGAAGAAATATGGGCTTAGGGGAGAGATAGAGGAATATAAAGCTCTGACAGGAGGGAGAGATTTGCCAGGAGGGCAAACACGTGTTTGGAAAGTAGCCAAACTGTGAACTAAATCATTAAAGAATGGCACAAGATTTTATGCAAGGCAGTGGCTATCTGCCATATGATGCCACCAGAGAAACGTGAACTGTCTGACCTTGAAAAACCTGGATTCTGCCTCTTCTAACCCATCGACGACATCACACAGTTGGGTTTCTTTAGAGCTCGCTCCATAAAGGGAGACGGGTAAATAAACTTTCAGTCTTTGCACAGAGCATCTGGTAGTCACAAACAAGTCTTTGAAGAGCTCCCGTTTTCTGATTTCTCTTTTTTTTCCTTCATAAAAGTCTATCACACATATCTAAGCTTTGCATTGATCGATGCCGTTGGGCTCTCTGCTGTTTGATCTCCTACAAAGCTTGTCAGACCTGGAGTTTGTGTGAAAGGAAGAAACGTAGTGTGTAGCCACACTGGATTCCTGTCCTGGAAGAATGTTTTCAATTTCCTGTCAAGTATCTCATCAAAGTCTGCAAGGTTGAGTGACAAACTGTCAATCGGGGGTAATTTCCTTCAACAGGGACAGGAAAGTTGTACAGATTTAATGGGAAAAGTTAAGAGTTGTTAAAATTCTCCTGCTAGAAGGACAACAATCCTATAGAGCTACAATGAAGACTAAGGTTTGCAAACTTTTAGATAAGTATCTGCTGAAACACACCTGGATCAAATAATTTGGTCATTTGCAGGACTCTGCGGAGCTGGACAGAAAATGTGGTTCAGTGGAATTAGACAAAGGATGCATGTAAAAGTTGATCATCTCCAACGACTGGTGACAAGAGTCTGAAGTTTCTACTTTAGCTCCAATCATGATCATGTGCTAAAATGACAATCCTAAGTGGTTACGTAGAAGGCAACTAAACTGGAAAGTTCAAGTTGAGAAACCTTTTGGAGGGCGGTGAAAAATCTTCAAGAAACAAAGTAAGTCCAGTTTCCTTCTGGCCACAGGAGGTTGATTTTTGAAAACCTGCAAGCACTGCAAGTTAAGCATCTGGAAATTGTTCCCAGTTATGAAGCAGCTCCACAATCCTCTTCCTGATTTTCTGATTTCACTTGACTTTCCAATTGTGTCAAACAATAAAGTATTGTTTTCCAGCTCTGCTTCTGAATTAGTTAAAAATATTAGTTAACCTATCAGGCGGCTCCTTAGCCATGACATCATCATCCGGGATTTCACTTGCTTAAAAGAATAGTAATCGTTCTGTAGACGTTAATAAAGAAATATTTGAGGTATTTGTTATTGCAGCATTTAGCTACTAGGAACAATTTTGGTTATTTTAACAGACTTAAAACAACAGAAGTTTGGTGTAATATAATTTGAGACAGTAAGAAAATTTGTATTTTTATTCTGTGCATTTAAACATCAGGTTTAAACTATATGCATAAAATATTTCTGCTTGAATTTGCTTCTCACATAAGCAGCTATTTGGAGTTACAGATATTACACTTCAGATAAATGTATAAACGTAAGCTGGTTCAGACTGCTGCTGTATCTCTGCTTTATTAATGAAGACTTGACATGACAGAAACAACAATAAATGCATTTTAATGTGTTTGGTTTGTACTTGTAGTATTCTCACATGCAATCACTGACAAATACTGTACATGTATCATAATTAAAATGTAGACAAGAGAAACAATGAAACAAAAAACAAAGAAAAGAAAAAAAGACCTTAGCTTAATTAGTGAAATCAAACCAATAGGAAATTGAATGTTACATATACTTGGTTTATTACAACATTCCAGGGTTGAGACAGAAATGACAACCTGTGTGCAAAACAATGGCAACAATGTCATTTACTAAAGTGCAACTCTGTATCAAATCCATGTGTTTTTCCAAAACAGGAATGTTAAGAGTATCAGAAAGTGTTTTGTCTCCCCCTTGTGGAACAAACAGAGAAAAGCACTTTTTACATCAGAATTACAATTTTTCATCCCATATTAATAATAGCATTAGTAATCCAATCGCATTGATAGTTCTCTGATAAATAAAGCTTTAAATTAGAGCATCTGAACTTGAAAATTGTTTTTTTTGTTCTTAAATGATGCAGGGGAGCCGAAAGGACGTCACACCAGACGATAGCAGGGCTAAATATTAATGCCGATGTTCACTGAAAGGTGATCATCAAGAAAGTACTGCAGGAACTCTAAATGCTGGACAGGATCAAGAAGTGGAGAGGCTGCAACACGCTTAGAGTTGTTACTAAAAATAAAATGCATTACAAAGTGTATGTGATAGTTTCGTCAGGGAAAAGTTACACAACCCCTCGCAGATTTGAGGACGTAAATGTAGAAAATAACTCATTTAAGGAACTCGGCGACAACTGAAAGCAGGGAAATGTGCTGCCAAAATGCCCTCTTCTTGCATGCAAGTGTTTTGTGGTGCAACGTTTGTTTCTTGGTGTAGCTGTTGCAACAAGACTCCACAAACGCATAATCACGTCTATCGTAGTGACAGTTCGAAATTAAGCAAGTACCTGCTAAATGCATCAATAACCTTCAATCAAAGTGAGCGTTTAATATGCAACAGGGAAAACAAGCATTGAGGATGTTTTTCTCAGTAAATCCATTTCTAATAGACGTATTGATATGAAATTCACAAAGTGGAATGACAGGTAAAGCACTGGAAATAGGAAGGAAATTAGGTGCAATATGTCTATAATATAATCTGGAAGTGGAAAGACAATAATTTCACCCTAAAAATAAGTTCAGAGAATAAATAAGTTAAGAGACACACAGCATGTCAGGAAAACCAGGAGGGATTTTCTCCAAGAAAACAATAAGTTATTCACTCAACCACTCTCTGCACAAGACTCCACTACTGAAGAAAAGGCATTTGAAACATGTTTGAAAGTTTACAGAGCATTCGGACAAGTCGATAAAATACTACAATAAAAGAGTCTAAATATGTATCAACATTTTGTAGCTGTGATGACAAAAAGCTGAAAATTCATCATCACCGTTTTCAGCTATAAATCTCTTACTGGACATATTTGCAAACATAATGTTCCCAATATCATCTAGTTTCATTCAGTAATGCCACAGTGCTGCTAAAACATATCCAGCAGAAGCATTAAATCATATTTTAAAACACAAAAGCAGCTTTTACGGCCGATCTCTTGGAGTTAACAAAGGAGAGAAGAGCCAACGGTAACAACCTCAATTATTTCAGGTTTTCCATCGATTAGAGTGCATCGTTATCATCACAGAATAAACGATTGATCATTTCATGATATGAGTAAACAGTATGATGAATTCCTATCCCTAACATTACACAGGCACACTCCCTTTAATTGAAGGAAGGATAAATAGACATCACTGATAAGAATCTGAAGATGAAATGAGGGGTGGATTTTTAAACAACACAGTCTCTCTCTCACACAGAGTCATGGGAACTCTCAGACAGAAAATAAAGTAACCAGAAGAACTTTAACAAAATTCACACGGATGTTCTGGTGTGAACATCTGGAAGATGCCGTTACTAAAAAGCCTTTTGACAAAGAACTAAATAGAAAATTCATCAAGCTTCTTCAATGCTTATTACCTGTGCCATTCCACTTTTCTCCATGTAACTTATAGGATTATTATGTCTTTATTTATTTGTGTCCATCACCCAACATCTGCTTTGAATTTCATGTCAATACCATCTTTAAAGATGTATTTATGGAGAAAAACATTGACATATTTAACACCTATTTTCCCCACTGTAAATTATCACATGTGCAACTGCTACTTTTAAGAGAAATAAAACATAAGAGTATAACCTTCTAAAACTATAAGAGTATTTTTATATTCTTTTGGGTATGAGAACTAATTCAACTTCAGTGGCACCAACGTCTAAACATCTGCTATCATGAGATCTGTGGGAGACGATGAACTTTAGTGATGCCGTTCTCTTAGACGCGTCTTCGAAAGCCACCATCAACCTACCAAGCGTGTGGTTTCATTTTGAGCATTTCATTTTGGTTCTGAGAATTTCTGTGTTAAACGGTGCATTACGACACCATAACGGTGGTGATTTCCATTCACACAAGTTGTTTTACAACAATCGAGAGATAAAATCTCAGGAAAAAAAACTCCCTACATTCCCAGCAGTGCACTGCTCCAGTCCGAACAAGCATTCACCTTTAACTGTAACTGGTGGTTAGGTAGTAAAACAGGTTACAAGACGAAGAAAAGAGCTTGTTACGCGAGAGCAACAAGTGCATCTCCGCGTGGTAAAAGTCATACGACTTCCAAATCAGCCACGTCTGCTTTTCCTCCTGTTGTTCCAAAGCTCAAAGTCCAGCTCCTGCTGGCATTCCTAAATCCTTCAACCTTCACCGAAGTCTATAAAAATCCTCCTGGCTAAAAGTCGCTAAGGATGCTGATGTCGGCAAACTCCTGGCGGTATCTGTAAGAGTACAAGGCCAACAGGAAAGACCATTTGAGTGTCAGGAAGCTCCAAATGCAGGAAAGGTAGAGGCTCCGCGGGTCGATCAGAGCTGTGGGGCAGAAATGACACCAAGCTTAGGGTTTGCTGGAGAATCCACATTTTTATAACTGAAACATTACATTACTGGACGTTTTAAATGTTAGACACCAAAAGAAGAGAATTACATTGTTTCTGTGTGATGGCCAGACTTAGAAAGGTAAAGGCGGCAGCGACGGCCAGAACTGAGAAGATTGCACCGACAGCAATGAAGAATTTGAGGCCCTTGAGCCAGGTGCGCCAGAAGTCCTGCAGGTACATGATGTGAGTGACTAGAACCCAGAACGCCAAAACTCCTGTCAGAAGACAAACACACACACACACACACACACACACACACACACACAGGTTACATTATTTCAATACGACTGCAACAAATTGGTAGCAAAGTGTTCAAAAATCAAAAACTGAAATCATAAAAAGTTTTCAACAAGGAATGAGTTGGTCCGCTGTATCCCAGTATAAAAAAGATTAAAAATATTCCAACTTAAAGTCCTTTTAAAAAGATGCCAGAGGAAGTCCCTAAGAGTTTTCTCCAGCTGTTTGGAACAGAAATTAACTCCTATTTCCACACTTAGCACTGTTAGGGCTGAAACTAACAATTATTTTACTAATCGATTAATCTATCAATTATTCAGACAATTAATCGAATACAAATCTTAACACATGCTAAGCCTTTTTATACAATACGCAAATAAATAAAAGCTTCTATAAGAAAAATATTTTGGCGCCATAACGTAGCATTCCTTAAATAAATAAGAATTTACTTAAGGTGAAGCTGAAACTATAACATTTGAGAATTTTTGGTTAAACATATTCAAAGACAAAGGTAAATCTGTACATATGTAATGTATATATTTTTGTATATTTTTGGCTTTAAAAATGTTTGCTTGTTTTTCCACAAAATGGCCTTTTTTTGAGTCTGAATGCTCCAGTTAATGATTACTAAGTTAGTTGATGATTATTTCGATAATTGATTAATCGTTTCAGCCCTGATCACTGTGCACTGGCGGTCAGCTTACTGAAAAAAGGAGACTGCAATTTTCTGTCGTTTGCACAAAAGACACACTTGGCAATTTAGAAATATTTCTGATTGTAAAAAACAGACAGCCATGTGGTGGAAATATGGCATTTTAGCAGTTTTATTTGACGTGTATTTTTAAATCTTACTTAAAATGGATTAAAAACTACTGATGAGGACTATTACAACAAACTTAGGAGATACATTTCTAAAAACTCTGAACTACTTTTTGAACAAAATACTCTCAGACAACTGGCAGCTACATTTAAGAGCTTTACTTAAAATATTAAATTGTAAAAGTTAATCCCATTTAATTTAGGTTAGTCTACTTGACTGTTAAAATTGCATTCATCATTCACAAATATAGTTAATATTTGACACAGAACAACATTTTGATTCCCAAACATAAAACAAAACAAAAACTAAATGGAAACAATGTGCAACACAACGTTTTTAGACACAATTAAAATAAATTGCACAGAGTATTTCATTAAATGATACAACATGGTTCAACTGTAAATAGCGAAATGAACCCCCAAATAAAACCTTTGAATATTGGGGAAAAAATGTCTAGAAAAAACATGTCATCTCTCGGAGAACTACAGGCATTTAAACAAACTATAGTTTATCTCTAAGCTTCGATTAGTGACATTTATAGCAGCACTTCAAGTCCAGAAGGCCGCAGTCAGGATAAATACAGCCTTAAAGAGAAAGTACTTAAAACAAATACGTGAACACATAATAGTTGGTTTAAATGATAAGTATGGAGCATTTACCTACCCGACAGGCCTCCCATGGCCGCTGTCCATGGCTGTTTATAGGCGATATTCCAGACGAGGAAGGCTGAAAATCCAACCAGAGTACCGAAGCTAGCATAGCCTATGCTAATGTGTATCCTACTGATTCCCATTGTAAAATTAAGCTAATGCTACCAACAGACCTGTACCGTCGAGTGGGATGAAAAGTTATTTTTAGTTAAAAACCAGACGGACCGATCCGGCCTTTGGTTCTGACCTACATCAACAGCTTACCGCCATATTATGTAATATCCTCAGCAACAGGGAAGCGACAAGATAGAAATCCCCCTCGGCTCACAGCCAGGAGAACAACGGCGCCAATCACCGTGGGGTGTTAAAAACACACCGTTCATTTGCCTAACAGCACGCCCTACACACAGTTTATGTTTTAAGTAAACAAACGGCAAGGAAAAACTGCTTAGTAAGTCCGTTACAATTCGCATAGAATTTAATTCCCATAAGTACAATCTTTTACAACATATGGACCACTGGAATATTGTGAGACACCCATCTCTTATGTTTTAAACATCTTTGTTCGGAAGAACGAGCAAACACAGCGACATCGCGCCCCTAGTGGAGAAAAGCAAAATAGCAGTTTTAGACTACAAGTTAGATGACGCAATTTACTTTTTGTAGCATTTCAGATTTAATTTAAGCGTCCATCAATTAATGCTTATCTTGGTCCGTGTACCCTTTGTCTCACTTCTGAGACTATGTTGTTGACTAATTGAGTTTTTTTTTCTTCTTATCTCTAAACCTGGAATCCATGCACATCAAATGCGTGAACAACAAGCTCTAAAACCTTTGATAAAGACTCACACAAGCCAGGAATGATTTTCCTAGCATATTGTGCTTCAGAGCAAACTGATCAAAAGAATTTTAACAAAATCTTTGTTTTTTATATTCACAATCTGATCCTGTCTTCTTCCAAAGATTAAACGATTAAAATAGTAGCCTAGTGTGGTATAATAAAATGCATGTCATTACTTAATCCTTACAAAGTGTGCCCTGCAACTACACTGAAGCAGACAGGTGTGTCAACACCATGCCAAGACAAAAAGACATCAACAAACATGTTAGAGAATGCATTTTTACCATTTTTACAATCTAGGAATGTTTAAAGATCTTTTAAATCAATTTGAAGTCCATAATCTTTTAGTAAGAACATATATTGACACATGGAAAATATTTAAGACAGTTGCTAAGTCTCCCAAAAGTAGAGATTCCCACGGGTTTAATGTCAGAGCGGGCAATGATCAGAGAAACTATAAAACCAGGAGCTTCGTCTCAGTCTAGCATTTCACATGTTAAAGTTCATAATTAAATTAGAAACATATTAAAATAAGAATGACTTGTGTGAAAGGGTTGCCAGAAGGGGCTGTCCTTTAGACAGATTAAACTAAAGTAGGCACATTTTGACTATGCACATTTTTATGTTTGGTGGAAATAAAATGCAACATATTAGTATCATGGTGGTGGACGGGTGATGAATTTAGGTCGTTTTTCAGCCACAAGACCAGGTTGCTTCTTTGTATTTTAGTTTCAGATGTGAAGCCATCTGTCTCACAGGCTCTGAGAAGATAAGTTCAAACTGTGTCATGGAAAATATTACTGAATCTTGATATGACTGAGAAATTCTGCCAAAAAAGAGCGTTAGGCACTGATGACATCTCAGAAAATGACTTCAGCGTTTAAAGATGGTTCAAACAGATATTAGGTATTCATGTGTACACAATGTTTACCTTCAGCCTTTCCATTATGTTTATACTTATTGTAAAATGACACAGTGGAATTTGAAATTTGACAAGTTCTTCAGGAATCAGGTGATTTTTTTTATCATTCCCTAATCTGAAAAGCCATAATTGAATAGGGTGCACATTATTTTTCTTCATTAAAAGTGGTGTAAATGCAGATCAATATGTTACAGATTACAGATATTGCATTACTTCAAATGAGCAACCAAAAAATATATAAATTTGGCAATATTTATGCACTTTAACAGCAAATATTTAGTTGAATATATGGCCTCAGCTGCATGTAAAAAAGCATAAAGAACCTGTGAATATTAGAATGAATAGTATTGTTTGTCTGAGGTGAAGGGCATAGAGCTGAAATCTGTGTTGCCAGGTTAAAGTTCAAAGTCTTTCTGTGGTTTTTTGCAGCTCTTCTGCAGACATCACTGAAGGAAACCACACAATTCAGTTGTAGTTGTAGAGGGCATATCGTGCAAATGAAAGAGAAAAAAAAAAAGCTTTGCTTACTTTCAGACACGAAGCTGTTCACACGCTCACTGCTGTGGGTACGTGTTGCATTCAGCTCATGCCCTCCGGCGCTCGCTTCATGACCAATCAGAAAGATACAGGAAACCGTGTCCACCAACACTCCCCACGACTCACACAGACGACCCAGACGTGGAAATCATCCCCAGACGGATGAAACAAGGAACGGCTGGAAAAGAGGAGAGCAGGGAACAAGTGTACTGACGAGCCTTACAGGTGGATGAACGTGGTAAGTTTCTGACCATGGATGAGAGCGATGTAGTTCACAGATTATTTATTGTAATATTTTAGAAAAGATTCTGATCTTTGTACAAAAAATTTGTTTTCAAAATACGGTAAATCTTACGTAACACATGTATGTGAGTGTTTTGAAGCCATATTTGCCATATGCATAAAAGTTTCTTTCATAGCTGCTCCAAAGTTTAGAAATAAACCAATCGTATTTTCAAGGTTGCAAAGTTTTTGATGCTGCTATTTAATTTAACTATGTTTATAGTCACTGTAAAAAAAAACATTGAAACACATGGGTATGTTTGTGAACTGCTGTTCTTATTCACTCCATTTGTTTTAATTTCTTCCCTCATATTGGCTTCACATTCTGCATTCAGTCCTTATTTGACCACGAGGTCAAACAGATCAAATCTGTATTTCCTTGTCGCTGCTAAGTGGCAGGAGAAAGGAAGGAAAAAGGTGGACGTGTGTGTGTGTGTGTGTGTGTGTGTGTGTGTGTGTGTGTGTGTGTGTGTGTGTGTGTGTGTGTGTGTGTGTGTGTGTGTGTGTGTGTGCTCAACAAAGATAGTTGGCAAAGTACATTCCATGGGCGTAGATGTGTTGCAGGAAATCCCACTCCCATTCCCGAAGGACTTAAATAGAAACACAGGCTCACAAAAATAAATGGAAAGAGAAAGAGAGAAATAAACATTGGCTCAGATAGCAGACAAAACTATGTGCTTAATCAAAGAACGCAACTATAAATATCCAACATATGAATCTGACATCTAATTCAATCAATTCTATTAATACATACATCATTTTAAAAGAAGTATTCAATACCTCACAAATTTCTTCTTTTTTTAACCTCAAATAAATGCTTCAGATCATCACGTTTTAACCGCAGAAGAAGATTAGTTTTCAAATATAAGTTTTCAAATAAACTCATTTATAAATCACCCTCACATTTTTAGAAAAGAACTGCATTGAGATTGCAAAACCTGTAGAATCAGGAAACCACTTCAGTAGAACCTGTCTGACAACAGGAGGTGGGCAAAGAAAAAAATCTCAGAGAGCAAAACATCAGATCCAATCAAAACAAAAACTAAAGAACAGACAGGAAACCGAGATCTGTCAGCATAGAAATGATTGCAAAACCATTTCTAAAGCTTTGGGACTCCTGGGGATGTGAGACAACCGATAAAAAAGAAGTTATGTGTGGACCAGGATTTTCTCTTCTTTCTCTTATCTATCATTTAGCTGACAAAAGTGATCCAGTTCAACTTTATCAAGAAATTTGATGTCAGTACAGGAAGTGTTGGCATTAAGCAGGCTAACTTTGTTTTCTGCACAATGTTAAGACACTTTCATAATAACTCCTTCATGCACTTAAAGGGCCACATCAGTCCGTGTTAGTACAAAGCATGTCCACAACAGAGTGATCTAATACATCAGATAAGGTAATTTTATTCATATAGCACATTTTCAGCAACAGACGTTTACAGATAGATTCTGACCTCTGATCAGCAGAAATTGATACAACATAAATCGTAGACGTGCATCTTCCCCAAAACACCTGCCGTTCACTTTCACATAAAAGCTTGTTTCAAAAATCAAAGCAGTAAATTAAGATTTACATTACAGTTTGTTTGATCATCTGAAAATGTTTCAGTGTGAATAAAACATAAAAGCAAATAACATCCCTTAGATTAAACACACGCGTAATTTAACACCAATGCAAAAATATTTAGTATTCTGCATACACACAGATTGTCTTTAAATGTTCTTTTTTTTCTACGCAAACTGCAAAACATCGGAGTTCTCAATAGAGGGCGCCATTTATTTAGAAAAAAGTTTTCCGAGAAGCAAAGCATTACAAACTTTACATCACTAAACTGCTTAGTAGGTCAAAAGCCACAATTTAATTTTGCTGCTTCATAATTAAGATTTCATACCAACCCCAAACCCAGAAATCATTTACCTTCAAGGAAAGTTTCTGTTTTTCTCTTCTATTATTATCGCCATCAAACACAGATTACTTTCCTACACAGAGCTTGTTTTGGATCCAGATCTTTTCTGTTTGAGTCACTTAAAGCAGACATTACTTTATAAAGCAAGAGCTGCATGGAAATCAGACTAGACTTCAGACACCATCAAATTATTCTATGTCTTTTCTTATCAACTCAGACTCTATCACCAGCACAAGAAGAAATCCCTTTTCGTTAGCTTACATAATGTGACATCACAGAGCTCCTGCAAGACTTTTAAGAGGGATAGACAGGTTTAGTCACAGCACAGACATTTTCAACTATGTAAACACTTTTCTATTTGATTTCTACATTTTGGGTAAGCTGCTAGGGCATCTTAGTGACTCCTCAAAGGTCTAAACATTGTAAGAGGATACCTTTTCTTGCATGTTAATGTTTATAGCCATCCTTTAGTGTGGATTCTAATACATTTAGTCTTGAAAAAAAAAAGCTGTAAAAGAAATCAAAATGATTTCTGCACGCTTTCAAAGCTATCCTTCACCCACCACACGCTAATGGATTAATGCTTCTGGAGGGAAAGAGAAAAGTGCTGAGGTGAGCAACAGGTGCTGTAGTTTTTAATAACATAAACAATAGAGGCTGTTTGGATATGCTGCCCTCCTACATCTAACCAGGAGGGGAAAGCGCAGACCCACGCACAGAAAAGCAGGACAGAATGGATGTTCTTGTGATTGAGCGCCTTGTGGAAAACCTTGGCAAACTGAACTGCCTCTGAGGTCAGCGCAGGAAGGGCAGCCCCGCTCTGGAACAATGGCAGGGATTTAAACAATCCTTGCATAACAGCCTGCAAGACAGAGTTGACTATGATCCAGTGCAAGGAAAATAAAATGACAGAAGGTTCTCCTTCGTTGTTTACAAATTTGTAGACTTAAGCTGGTGCATCGCACTGCAATCGAATGTCATCAAAAAGTTTATTTGTTTGAATATTTCAGTTCAAC